CTTCTCCCATGTCCCCCCTCCCCCCCCTCCTTTTCCCTTCTACTTTCTGGACTGTAGTTATGCTTTGCCATTCATATGAATGTGTAGGTGATTATATGTTGATTTCATAGTAGTATTGAGTACATTGGATGCTTTATTTTCCATTCTTGAGATACTTTACTAAGAAGATGGGTTCCGTCTCCATCCAGGTAAACGTAAAAGATGTGAAGTCTCCGTCTTTTTTATGGCTACATAGTATTCCATGGTATACATATACTGTAATTTGTTAATCCATTCATGGATCCATGGGCACTTGGGCTGCCTCCATGTGTTGGCAGTTAGAGGCATTTGGAGCTTTCCTTTCTCCTGAATACTTTACTTCCTCTGACTTACAGGATACTTATTGTGCACGGTCTTCCTTATTTCAGTGAGGGATAACTCCACTCTTCTAGTTATTTAAGCTAAAAATCTAGGAACTGTCTTCTACCCCCTCCTTCTCATGTAGCACACATTCAGTCTATTAGGGCGTCCTATTGCCTCACCCTGAAATCAATCCTGAATTTAATGTCAGACATTTTAATTATATAATAAATTGTTGTTTATAGATCATTCTCATTTACTTCTTGTATTATTAAATTTTTAAAAATATAGTAGCTTTTAGAACTCAGTTACTTTTCTTTATATCAGGGAATACTCTTTAATCTTCCAAATTTAATTAACAAGCTCAAATAAAAGTGCTCTATTTCTGACAACCAGCCAGCCAACAACAAAAACACTCACACGTCCGCTTCTTACCACCTCTCCAGCAACAACAACACATCCACACGCATCCTTGTCTCACCACCTGTACTGCTCCCATCCTGGTTCAAGCTGCCGTAATCTCTGCATTATCATAACCTATACATTGTTCTTCCTGCTTTCACCATACAGACCATTCTCAGCATAACAGGATGAGTTAATGCTCTTAGAAAATGGTTCAGATCATGTCATACCTCTGCCCACAACCTTGTGAGAAGTAAACTTCTGAGCCCCTCCCCCCAACTGAATAGGCTCCTCTTGGCCAAGGGGACCCCAAAGGAACCTCAGAACTGAACTCCCTATCATGACAGGACCAGTGGTCAGACACACCTTGTTATACCCTCCCTCACTAACCCATGAGATTGCTTCCCTGAGGGCTAAACAGAACCAGCCCTTTGGAAAGGCTTTAACCATCTAGTGCTGCTCCTCTCTTTTGTGGTTTCAACACAACTGACTAACATTCCTTCCTGACAAGAAAACACTGGACCAGGGAGTGGTTCTGGCCAATCTGTGGAGGCTGTGCACGGGGGGCCTTCATGTTCTCTGCTTCACCTTGTGACCTCAGAGGGCCAAAACTCCACCCTCATATCATGCTAATGTCGTTTTCTGAACACAGGACCGTGAAGCAGAATGAAGCTCAGTTGCTCTGATAAATTCCTGTTCCCTTTATCCTGTTTCTGGCTCCTGCAGGCTGTCAAAATGGCCACCTGCAGGCCACAATGCCCTTTATGAGAAATAAAGTTCTCCTTTCTAGTAAGAAGCTCATCATACCTCAGTTGACGCTTGTGATTTGCTGTTAGAATGAAAGCTGATGTTCTTCCAATGCCTCCGAAGACTCACACCATTTACCTGTCTGCCTCTCTTCTTTCTGTCTTCTGTTTCCTCTTCTATTCGGCTACATTGGCCTGCTTGCTATTCCTCAAGTAAAACTAGGCCTTCTCTCGCTTGACGGCGTTAGCACTTCTGTTCCCTCTGCTTGGCCCCCGGGACCCTCGTGGCTGGTGTCTTCATTTCCTTTGAGTCTTGGCTCAAATGTCACCTTTTCACTGAGTCCTTCCTAACCATCCAATTTAAATTGCATGTACTCCTAATCTCCTTTGTGCTACTAAAAACAAAATAACCCCCCAAACTTAGCACTTACTACATTCTGATGTATTTATTTCTATTAGTTATTATTTGACTAATATTATTTCTATTAGTTATTATTTGACTGCTTCCTGCTATGAGACTATAAACTTTACACAGGCAAGGTGTTTATTTTGTTAACTGATGTACCCTCAGAACCTAAAACAGTTCCTTGCACATCATAAGGACTCAAATATTTGTTGAATAATGAATGAAAGAAATTGAGAGTCAAAAACTAGAATAAAAAACTGGAAAGGAACAAAACCATATTAAGGATGAACAAGGCGAAACTTGTCTTGAACTTCATCCAGTTTTGTTCTTTTAGGTGAACTCAATCTTTTGTGTAATACCCACATAAATAGATAAATCTGACAGGTGTAGGGGCCCAAAGAAAGGAAAATCCCACCACCTCATTTTCTGCAGAGAAAGTCCTCCATGCCTGGGACTTAAAGGCAGGTCAGTGTGAGCCTGAGACATGTACAAACCCTCTTTTTTCTTTATAGCCAATTTTTAAAAATATATATATATTTTGGAAGTTTACTCTGTGTATTTAATCTTAGATTACTTAGCCAGTGAGGTGGGAAGGGTTTGGGACTCTTAGAAGGTCTAAAGAGTACAGCAGACTCTTGGAAATATGGGTATATTTTATGATAATTTAAAATGTTTCACTCAAGGTGGTGCCAGTAGCTCAGTGAGTAGGGCGCTGGCCACATACACCGAGGCTGGTGGGTTCGAACCTGGCCCAGGCCATCTAATACAACAAAGACAACTGCAACAACAATAAAATAGCCGGGTGTTGTGGGGGGCGCCCATAGTCCCAACTACTTGGGAGGCTGAGGCAAGAGAATCGCTTAAGCCCAAGAGTTTGAAGTTGCTGTGAGCTGGAACGCCAGGGCACTCTACCCAGGGTGACTGCTTGAGACTCTGTTTCAAAAAAAAAAAAAAAAAAAAAGTTTCACTCAAGTAATATATTAGTGTGTACAGGAAAATATACATATCTTAAGTATAGACTTTGTTGAGTTTTCACAGCCCGACTACATCAGTAATTGGCTTGTGTAACAAAAACAACCTAACCAGCGGTCCAGACCAGTGGTCCAGACCAGCGGCCCAGATGGTCTTCTGGAGGCCCTGCCAGTTTCTACCACACCCGAGGTGACCGTTCTGACTCTGCTGTGTAGCTGTGTTTTGCCTGACTTTGCACGCTATGTAAATTAAGTCCCATGGTGTAGATGTTTTTGTGTCTTTTTTCTTTTGCTCAACATTGCACCAGTGTGATTTCCCTGCATTGTTAACAGTATTGATTTCCCTGCATTGTGCTTGGAGTTTGTTCATTTTCAGTGCTGGGGACATCAGTTCCACTATATAAAGATGCCACAATTCGTCTGTTCTACTTTGATGGGCATTTGGACAGTTTTCTGGTTTGGGCTATTTATGAACAGTTACTACTATCAATATTTCTTTGAATGCATTTTGATGCACATGTGTGTGACTTTCCTGGGGCATTATGGGGGTTTTAATCCATAGTCTGTGAGCCCTGAGTGTTGTTCAGCGTTTCAGTTACTGACCATGTGCACCCTGCTCAGATGAGTGCCGTGGTGACAGGCTTTGACCTTTGCTCCTCAGTGCTCCCCCGGGTCTGTCCACACTTCAGGCCCTCACACGTCGCTCTGGCTGAGTACGCACGGGCTTGGCTTTGATCAGCCCACGTGTGTGGCTCAGAACTTCCTTCTGCTTGTTGTGTGCCCGGCAGCTGAGCAGGACCCGAAGCACAGTCAGCTTGCGGAGTGAATGGTGACAGGTATCACTGTTCCAGTGATGAACAAAGCAGGTCCCCTTAGTTAGGTGAATGGAGGCCTTTAGCCTGACATCTCAGTGGCAAAGGGTTGGGTATGGGAAGCGACTCTGAGAGAAGCCAGGACTGTGGGCTCAGAACTGAGCCTGCCGTGTGGTCAGAGGGAATCGCTGCGGCTTTACAAGCCTCTTGGAGATGTCAAGTGCTAACAGCAGTGGTTCCAGGGCATAGTGTGGGGGCCAGATATAAATAGCAGGACACAAGTGGGGTAATGTGCCACTGCCAAGCGTCTGCTGGGAGTGTATATAAAGAGAAAGCATTCTCGTCTCAGCTCTCAGCGTCAACACATCTTATCCCAAGGACACACTCACGACAACTGAGAGGGAATCAGTTTGAGACCTGGCATCATTTAATCCTCCTCCACAGGCGCAGAAGCCAGGTAAATGCTTTGAGTGGCCCCACTCAGACTGAGGAGGGGAGGAAGTTGCAGGAGGGCCCTGATCCCGAGCTTGCTTGGCACGTACCCTTGTGACAGTTGTCTGTCATGTGCTGTGCTCCACACCTGCATTAGAAAGGGAAGTTTAACACAACAGGAGGGTTTTGGTGCTGTGTTTTAGTATAGCTAGTAACGTGTTTCTGAGGAAAGATGAGAGACAGGGCCAAGATGATCCATAAAAGGGAAGACTGTATCTCTTCCGCTAGGCCGTGCCTCCCGTTTTCGGAATCCAGAGTATGGTGATTAGTAGGATCAGAGGTTCCGGTTCAGCTCCAGCGATGGCGATTTGCTGGCGGTATGTGCAGGGAGCTGCAGGCTGCCTGCTACTGAGTTCATGAAATTGGTTAAGGGCTCCAGGACAGCGGCAGCTGCTGAGGGCCTCTTCCTCTCCTGTCTACCCCTTTCAGTAGCGGAAATGCTGGGATGAATGTCGGGCATTAGGGCAACAGAGCTGTATAATGCCACTGGACTTGCTGCCTGCCCAGTTCTTTGGACCCTCATTTCTGCCCAGGAAGTGGTGCAGAGCCCCGTTTTGCTCTTAGGCTTCTTTGGACTGTGAAGACTTGGGGGAGTGAGGCCACCTCTTTTGCTTCGTACCTCTGCTGGCCTCACCATCTCCTCCCGCCCACCCAGTGGTCGTGATTTAGTTTGCAAACAGGATAGGAGAGCGGATATGCCTGGACACGTTTCTGGAGGATTCTCAGAAACTGGGAGGGAGGGGACCAATTTCAAACTGCTGTTTTTTAGTTTGATGATGTTATTTCCTGTGCATGCTGAAGGGAGATTTAGAGATGGGAAGAAAATATGCCTACCAGTGACTCTGGCAGGAGAGACAGCATGTCTGAAGAGTATGGAAATGGACAGATTTAATCTTGAACAAATCACTTAAGTTCTGTGAGTTTTCATTGCCTCATCTGTAGATGAAGTGGTTCAACTGCTAGATAAAACCTGATTGCTCCTGCAGCCTTTATAAATTTATTGATGGTCATTTTCTGGCCATCATTGTATCCACTCTCACCCTGAATGAAAATACGTACACTGTCATCCTGTAATACTCCCCTAGACCTCTTTTTAAAGTGTATTAAATTAATTTTTTTCATTTTAATTTAGAAAAAAAAAATGAAGAAAGGACATCTTGAAATGGTCACTATGCTGCTGACAGCCGTGATTCTAATGGACGTCTTCCAGGTAATGTCGGGAATGGGAAGCACGTGGTCACTGGAATGGGAACTCGCGATAACATTGCCTGAGGTGTCTATGTGAGTGGATGATGGAAATGAAAGTAGGTAGAAAAGGTAAATGAATTTATTACAAACAGCTGTAATTTTTCATTTTATAGATGTGACACATGATAACTGTGGAAAGTTGAAAAAACTAAAATTAAACAAATAGAGGAAAGTAAAAATCATCCCTAATCCCTCCACTAAGAGGGACAGACTCTGCCTACACACAGCCTTCTTGGCTCTGTGTACTGTATTTAATTTATCAACGTGGGCTCACACTATAAAGTATTTTTTTTGCAGTTTTTGACTGGGCTGGGTTAGAACCCACCACCTCCAGCATCTGGGGCTGGCGCCCTACTCCTTGAGCCACAGGCACCACCCACTATACAGTATTTTTTGTATCTGCCTTTTTAGTTTAATATCATGCTACCTGTTGGTTTATGTCATTGATTATCCTGAAAATATCATGTGTTTTTTCCCAAATAATACAATGCTGCATTGTTTGGTTACATAGTTTTTGTTAAAGTATATAATGACCATTTTCTCACAGCATTTTTTGATATAACTTTAATGACTTTATTTGTAGTTGAATCATTAAGCATTCTGTAACATATTTTTCTGTAAAATATGAGACAGGCGTTTCACTTGATCCCCCCTCCACAGTGTTAGCTGTCAGTACTGGGACACCGATTGTAAATGCCTTCTTTAAAATGCCTAACAATTTTACATGTTTTTGAGTTGGATATTCTAATCCATTGTTTACGTAGAATTGTAATGTACTCTGTTGCCTGTGATGCAGTGTTTTCTTCAACTAAGACATAGGTCACATACCATAGAAATTGACCATTTTACAGCGTACACTTCAGTGGGTGTTAGTGCATTCACTGTGCGGTGCAGCCCTCACCCCCGGCAACTGCGGGACGTTCCCATCACCCCGAAGGAAGCCCCGTTCCTCTCCTTCCCCCATTCCTTGGAAACCGCTCATTTCCTTCCTGTTCCTCCTGATCTGCCCATTCTGGACGTTTCACCTGCATGCGATCACACACTGTGTGGCCTGTTGCGTCCGGCTTCTCACTCAGCATCTTTTCAGGGTGTTTCCGCGTGGCAGCGTGACTCGGTACTTTACTTTTACAGCTGGATAAGGCCTGCGCTCTGCCTGCCCCGCGGCGTGTTCGTCCGGCCCCAGCTGCCGGGCGTGGCTTTGTTCCCACTGTGTGGCCACTGTGGGTAGTGCTGTTGGGAACCTTCACATGCACGTCTTTCTGTGAACATAATGGAGCTTTTTTCTTTTCAAAAAATTTTATAATCACATCATCTTTATTGAGGTATCTGAAAGTAATGCACTATTTGGTATTGTTACAGAGTAAAGGTTACTTTTATGTATAGTATAGACAGATGTGTATGTACGTGAAAATTAATGGGGGGCTACAGTTCATGAGACAGGGTAGCAGAATTACTCACTGTCGTGAGCACCTGTTTCAGTTCTATCTAGGAGGAGAATTGGTACGTCACATGGTAACTTTGCGTCCCTTTTTCAGGAGCTGCCCACTGTTTTTCACACTCCCACCAGCCACGTATTGGGGTTCTGATTTCTTTGCATCCTGTGCTACTCGTTATTTTTCATTTTTGATGTTGTTTTTATCATTGTAGCCACCCTGCTGGTGTGAAGTGGTGTCTCATTGTGGTTTGATTTGCATAGTCAATATTGTTTTGCAGCATAGTTTTAGTGTATTTGATCTGTGAATGCTCCATAATTTGTTTAACCAGTTTCTCTCCTTGAGGTCATTTCCACTTTTCTGCAATAAGTTTTTAGTAATTGAATTTCATCAAATGAGCATTTGTTTTAGGAGAAAGGAAGTGTAATTGGCTTGTTCCCCAGGCCTGGTGTACCCAACTCTCAGTGTTCATTCAGTCGTCCCTGAGGCGTGGTGGCATTTGTGAGCTTTTTCACTTTTCAAGGCACGCACTGTACAGAACACACAATCAGCTACGTGTCTGGCCAAAAAGGCTTGAGGTCTAAAATTAGACAGCTGGAGACTGGATAGAGGCCTAGGGAAAAGACAGGAACATACGAGTTCAACTCTGATACGATGTGAGGAATGTGGGAGGTGCTTTCGGGATCTGGTTTCTTATACTATGTTGAAGTCTTGGAGATAAGTCAGGCATTGGTGCCCAAGCTGCACTCTGGTACATTCTGTCCTACAAAGGAAAGTGCCTTTCTTGACTATGAGACAGCAGTGATTTAATCTCTTAAAGCTCAAATTCCCACATCAAGAAACTGACCTACAAACCCAGGGGAGCGAGGGTGGCAGAGACTCCCCTAGAGCACTCGGGGCAGTTTCTGATGCTGGCACAGCTCCCTCATTTGTAAAACGATTTTAATAATTTCCCAACCTTTTCTGAGGGTTTTTATGAAGACAAAAATTATACATTTTAGAAAGTGTGACATAAAAATCAGTGATCTCCATCCCTAGAAATGTTCTCATTCTTTAGAGGACAAGGCCCTGGAGCCAAACTGCATGGTTTCAAATCCCCGTTCCTTATACGTCTTGATCTCTCTCTGTCTGGGTTTCCTCATCTTTTAAAAATAAGGGGGATAGTAACAACCCCAATAGGACCTACTTCACAAGGTTGCCATGAGGATTAAATGAGGTAAAACTTACCAGGCGCTTAGTATCCAGCATACAGAGAGAACTGGTGAGATGTTTGTGAGGCCTTCGTTGTGAAGTGGTTACACAAGGTGACTGAGCAGGAGATATCTAGGAAAACTTCACAAATGAGCAGATGGTCTTAAATAAGGCCCAGGTGGTCGTGTTGAAGTAAGATATGTTTGGTCCTAGATGTGTTATGTTTCAAGGGTCCTTGAGCATTCAAGAGGAGGTGTTGAGTAGACATTTGATAAAGATTGGCCTGGCCCTTACTGGGCAGGTCGGAGGTATGTGTGTAAATGCTAACTGGAACTGTGAGCATGTATGTGATGACCTAGGGGTAGAGTTGAGAGTTAGAAAATAAGTAGCCTCGAGAAACTCCAGCATCTAGTGGCCAGCTAGAATATGGTGGGTCTGCAGAGGAGGCTAAGGAGAAATGCCCTGTTAGTGAGAGCTGCTTGGATGGAGTCATGGGGTGGGGACAGGATGTGAGGGTTGAGCTGTAAGTGGGAAATGAAGTGGGATAAACGTCATTTCAGTAAGGGATAAACTTCTCTTTCAAGAAGTTGGTTGCACACGGCATGGTGGTTCATACCTGTAGTCCCGGTGACTCAGGAGGCTGAGGCAAGAGGATTGTTTGAGCTCAGGAGTTGAGGGAGAAAAAAAAAATGGTTGTGAGGGGGAGCAGGGAGATAGTGGAGAGGAGCTATTTTTAGGGTAGGGTATGGGGTCAAGTTGTGTTTTGCTTTTTTAAGTCTCTCTCT